TTGATAAGTTTAAATACTACACAAGAAATGCCACGTAGACCAATAGACACTACATAATAAATACTACACATCACACCCTACTCGACAGATACTACATTTGTAACACATCACATATTACACACTAGACACTACCCGACAGATCATACATAGATACTACACTTGCAAAATGTTCAGATACTACATATCACTTATTTAAACATCACATATAGGTGCGCCACTCCCTGATAAGTTCAAATACTATTTAAATCACACATCCATTAAATGATAGGATACATCACATTCTTGATTGATCTTGATTGATAAATTTAAAACACTTCATGTACCAAATAATACATCTAATACACCCCACATAGATACACTACACACCTTTAATTGATAAGTTTAGATACTATACAACAAATACCACCTATTAGACATCCCCACTGTAAACTGTTGATTGGTAAGTTCAGATACTATCCATCACTTATCCTAATATCACATATAGGCGCACCGCACCCCGATAAGTTTAGATATCATCTCACATGGGTACATTATACTTTTAATCAGATAAGTTCAGATGTTATTTGGGTTCACTAATCCATTAAATGATAGGGTTTAGGGTTACCCGACTCTAGGGGTGATGCGTTAGTGACTTCTAGTTGATATTGATAGGTTGACTTCGATATATCAATGGCCTGGGGGATCGAGAAATAAAAAAAAAGAGAGGTTTAGTCTGTGAGCCTAACTCCAAATTAAAATCATATATCCCACTTTAGATTTTCATATGCTTATCGTTTAGCTTTTCTTTTATAATCTGCAAATGTTTATCTAACCCTTTTATATCATACAATTGTAATATGTTTTTAGCATCAACAGAATTAACCAGGTACACTTTTAATTGTTTCAGTTTCTTTACTTTTTCTGCTACATAGTTCTTTCTTTATTGTACATTTCTTTTCTTTTGTATTATATTGTACATTTCGCATATTCTTTGTACTTTTTTTTACCGTACTTCGTTACATAGCTTCTTTTTCTTTCTTTATTGCACTGTATTGTATACATTCGTATGTACTCTTGCTTTTAGTTACTACCTTTTAGCATGTTGATTCAATCCCCTAGGACAGGCCGTTCGAGGTATGTTTTTTTTATCCTTTTCTCGGGACGAGGCGTCGACGTGGGCGAGTGAAGATTCATCTTCAAGCAACGGTTGAGACTATGACAGGAAGCGGCAGGAGGAGCTTCAGAAGGAGGCGGCAGGAGGAGCTCCATCTTGGCTTCGATAGATTTAAATAACACACCCATAGGACTTCGAGTTTGTTTGTTTGACACGGCGTAAACCCTCATACACTATCGTTTAGAACTTTCTACGATTTTATATCGTATGATATAAGCCCTAAACTTTTTAGAACTTTGAATCCTCACATTTTCTCGGGTTATTTGTATATGACATGCAGACACAAGTCCCGAATATCTAAATAATTTACAGGACTGAAACATCACATAATTTCATTTTCAAAGATGTAAAGCCAAACCATAGATTTTTTTGAGATGTCACTGAATATTCTTCAGTATTTTCGACATCTCCTACTTTCCGCTCCTTTGAACTTCAGAAATAATTGTTCCTATTTGAATCTATCTCATTTGACTTTTCCTATAAACAATCGTGAAAACTTAAACCTTGAATTCTTGAAGACGAAACTCTGATCTTAATTGAGAGTTTTCTTAAGTGACTTTAGTTGCCTAAGATGTAATTAACTATAGGGGTTTGCCTCTATAGGGAATTAAGAACCCGAATTAATCTAAAAACTATCTAATTTGTGTATTAGATAGAGGAATTTGTCGGCTATAAATTTCGCAGACCAAAATAGAGTCATAAAATTTTAAGTTTAGATAGTTAAGCATACCAATAAGTGATACGTTCATCATTCGAGATGATATATCATTTATGATATCGAGTTCAACTATTTAAACCAATAGATATGTGAGGTATATCCGGTCTCATCATTTTCCAAAAATGAAAAAATAATACCATTTTCACAAAATTAAAATTACATTATATATTAAATAAAATTTAAATTTTAAAATCTTGATTTAAAAAAAAATATCCGACAACTATATTTATCACATTTTATTGCTTCCAGTAATCATTTTTTCTCCACTTACCACATTTAACGAGATCAAGTTCTTGGATCTCCTTTCTTTACACTTATACTCTATTTATCCTATTTCTCCTACGCACCTGCACAAAATAAAATCATCAAAAGTTGTAACTTAGAATTTGTTTATAATGCTCTTTGTAGACATAATGATATTATGTTTCAATCATATTTAAATTTCAATAATCTTTAAAAGCAATTTTTTACCATGATATATTGTACCTACTTACTCAACCATGTTTCCTTATGCAAGATTTCGAGGTTGTCAGTCAAGCTCGAGACTAAACCAAATAATTTATTATATGTATCAAAATATTTGACCCCAATCTAAATCAACTTAAGCCAACCTAACCCAACTTGTTTAACATATGGATCATGCAATTTTTTTTATTATCACGACCCAAATAACTCAAAGATGACCTATTTAACTCAACCAAACCTAGCCCAAACCAAAATAGTGATTGAGTTAACTTAGGTTAATTAGAGGTCAACATGAACTTGACACAAATAATAATTGGATCAACCTTTTTGACCCTAAGCTAACGAAAATAATAGCCACGTCAACTCAAACCCATTGAGTCGAGTCATCTATTGACAACCCTGTACGATTTATATATATACTCTTTTAAATTTATATAATAATCTTATTAATATAATTAGCCATTTAACATCATACCAAATTTGATTCAACTTCAAAAACCTCTTTTTATTAATACAATTATCTATTTTATTGCATCAATTTTAAACTACCTTTAAAGTTCTCTCGTCTAAACAAACTACCTTGGAGTTTTAATTTCCCACCTTATAAATATACAATACTATTTTAAAACAATGATTCCTTTTATTGGGGAATAATGAGAGATAAATCACAGTATATGACTCAAATCAGGACTTGGACAAACAATGATTTTTTTAATTAGATTTTCTACTATTAATATATACATTAACTATTACTCAAGGTTATGTGCTCAAACATTTTTTTGGAACCACCTTACAATCTTCAAAAAACATTTTAATTTCCTTCTAATAAATGAATATTATGATTTAAAAACTCTTGTTTTGAAACTAAGCATGCCCTCTTTTTTATTTAAGGTTTCGCTATTGCAAACTATGACAAAATAAAGAATAACTTCTCCTGCAAATTAACATCACTTATTATATGAGTGTGTCTATCTCAATCCACACACACACACCAAAAAAAGGAAAAAACACCAAAAAAAAAAATTCATTACTAAATCTTATATTAATTCTAAACATGATAAGAACTTGACCATTTTCACTATAGTTGAGTTTAGTTTTGATGCATCAATTGTCAGCAGCATCCTTACCAACCTTGTCTAATTCTCATCATAAATAAGCAAAGTTATGGCATACAATTATAGGTGATACCCTTATCCACTTTAATAAAGTTATAGTTCATAAGCTTTGCTTATTTGGAGTATGCCAACACTGAAAAATCAAATTATGTTTTATTTTAAGCATTTTGACAAAGAATCAATGACCAAACTAACAATAAACTTCAAATCATCTTATTGTGCTTGGGATTAATAACGATGATTAAAAAAAACAACAAAACTATGAAAATGCTATATTGGAGAAATGATAGATGTGTGATACTGATGAATGGATAAGTGAGCAAAAAATTGGAGGATGATGGTGCTTGTTTTAAGAACATGGGCAATATTAAGAAGGTATATGATACACATCAAAGTCAAAATCAACAAGCAAATTGCAGACAATTAGAGGGCAAAACCATATTAGGGCTAATTTTACTAATATTCAATCAAACAAATAAGATAAAGAAAGTAAACTATAATTCGAGAGGAAGATCGACTCTCCACAAATCCTAGACTTCGCAAGAAACACAATAAAAGAGAAAACTACAGGAATCCAAAACATAAAAAATAAACCTTAGGTTATTAGCCCAAATATAACACCCAACCCCTCCCCCCCTTCAACTTTCCACCCAATACTTCCCTTAATTTCTTCTCCTGGTATACGTGATTAGAGCCCTGGTGGGCCCCACCCAGGCACAGGAATCTTCCCAGGCGGAAAGGCTTTCTTCCCCTTCTTGCTGACCTGATCGGTTGGTTGTTGATTAGGGTGGGTTAGTCAACTGAGTCCAGAACGGCCCCTCGTGGATCAATGGCATAACAATATTTCCCTCCCAAAGAAACACCTTGTCCTCAAGGTGGAACGATGAAATCTGTTTTCGTATCATTTCATAAGGCTCCCACATTGCTTCATATTATGACAAATCTTTCCACTCAAGCACCTCCTTTGCTCTTCTCACTCTTCGATGCACCAATCTACCTCCAAGATTTCAAAGCCACCTCCATGTCTTCCGTCAGCGTCAGAAGTAGTGAAGACGATTGGTGTGGTCTCCTATAGCATGTGTCAACTGTAAAACATTAAGCATCAGATACAATGATGATGACGATGGTAGCCTCAAACGATATGCCATGGTCTCAATGCATGCCACAAACTCATAGGGTCCAAATGATGTGTGGAAAGCTCTCTTCTACTCCAGGTCGATGTCTTTTATCATTAAGATCTTAGCTTCAAATAAATCATATCTCCGGGCTCAAAATGTACCTCCTTCCTATGTTCATAAGTCTTTTCATGATTTGCTCGACCCTCAGTAGATATCCTTTGAGTTCTACAATATTATGTCCCTCTATTCCAGGTATTGATCCACATTGGGCTGGTGTCATACTATGCTCATAATGTATCAGGTGAGGTAGATCTTGTCCATACAAAACCCT